AGGTCCTCTCTATCTCTGGATCAAGTGGCAGTAAATTGCCGGTCGTCCTCCTTGGCATGCACGAGGAGGATACACCTGAAAAAATCACATGCACATTAACACCCAGATCAAAATAGTTCACTCACAAAAATCAACAAAATAAGGTATGGCATTCCCCGGCAACGGCGCCAAAAACTTGATCGGGCAAAAGCGCAATGCTTCAATTTCCTATCTCGTAGTAAACCGGAATTCCGGGTATCGTCTCTCGGGGACTGGTACAACCTTATGATTTATCAATTATATGGAGCAAACTATAGGTGAAACTGGTTTGGTTGATGAAATTATTATCTAGTAGCAAAATAATTAAACAAAACAAGCAAATTAAAATGGTTGGGAGAAATTCAATTGAGAAAGCTCTGGGAGAAACACCGGGACTCACTACCTATCATATCCAGATTAATTCACATATTCTAATCAGTTTAATCCAACTCTCTATAGTCAGGATATCACGAATGTGCTAGCTATCCCTGTCGGGAATTACTACACACTAAACAATTAAATCAAATCCTACTGTCGTAGCTCAATGACTTAATTGTTTAGTCTGAAGATCGATATCCTATTTAAGACCGCATAGCACCTTATTTAATCCACTGTCGCTTCGATAAGTTTCTATGTCACATGAAATATGTTCAGTTATTAGGGTTTCACTGTCGCTAATAACCTAATTAACAACAAATCAATGTATTGGTGACCAGTCAACACAAAGCATTAAGCAATTCCATGCAATAGAGATTGGAAGAAAAGAAATACGAATTAATCCATCAAGTATAGAAATAGCTACATCCTATAGTGTTTCCCCCAGAAATTGGGATTTAGTTCATGACGAAATCAAAAAATATAATCATGTTTATAATCATCATGTCACTAAGAAAAGAGACGGAAAAAATATCGATCACCAAGCTGCGATGCTCGCGCTACTTCCTTCCTGTTGCAACGCGATATTGTTTGCGGTCCAAATTCTGCTCTCGTCGCCGCCAAACGTTCCGTCCTCACCAGTTGCTCCCTCCATTCTCTGCCCGAATCCGTGTCCCAATTAATTCTCCATAAAGAAATCCCCTGGTCCAAGTCTCCCACTACTGGACAAAAAACTTGGGCCATGTAACTCCCCTCCAAGGTTCAATTAATTGCCTCCACTCCAGCTTCCGCCCAGAATTCTCCACTTTAGAAAAGGACAAACGAGATGGGCTATATAATTCATTAATAATATTCCAAAACACTCGTCTCGTCCCAATCCTTCTTCCAATCACACGCATAAAGGCCCGCCCCAATAGTACTGCTTTTTTTTATACTTTGTTTGGACCAGCGGCCCAATTGTTTTCCATCCGTACTTCGAGTGTGTTTGTTAGTCTGTGTAATTTCCCTTTTCGCGTTTACATCAAACTCATGACACTAGACAGTAATGGGTTTTCAATCATTCCAAGATTAGCGAGCCCTAAAACTAGCCACATTATGCTCAAACATATTATAAGATAATTATATTACGCACATAAATATCATATGTTCTAGCCTATTATCAATGGTCTTTTCAACCATTCTTGGGTTAATTCTCCCTAAAATAGCACCAATTGACTTAAACATATCATGGGATAGTCATATGAACTTAAGAATTCAATATGTTATAGTCGATTATCAAAACCCCACACTCAAATGTTGCCTGTCCCTAAGCAACGACTAAAACAACACAAATACATAACCATCCAAAACAATGGCTCATCACAGACTCACCAATCAAACACTCAAAACAATACAAAATTTTCCTTGTGCTCTTGTTTTAATCAGTAGTTTCTTTCTCAAAGGACGAGTTGTGCTTTAATTTTCCTTGTCCCTAAGACACTTAAGGTCATCCACCCCTTTACCATTGATTGACTCAAATCCACCAAAACTCAATTAGCAAACACTCAGTTCATGTCGTCGATAGTGAGTGATTAACAACTTATGGTGTAACAATTGTTAGGAGAATCGAACCACGTCAGTGAGGTGCATATCTCGTGACTACAATATGGCTTACTCACATGAATCATAAGCAACTAACTAAGCATATGAGTCAGTCTCGCGAAACCTTCCCTCTTTGCCTTCAATTACATCTGAAAACGATTTGTAAACCTTATTATGACCGTCCCTCATTGGTTGTCCGCTTAGACCTTTTTGAAGAAGGTTCTGTTACTAACATGTTTACTTCCATTGTAGGTAATGTATTTGGGTTCAAAGCCCACCCTTGATTCAGGGCTTAACCCACTCCTTCCTTACGCAAAGCTAGCAACGGCTGCGATGCACCGTAAGCAGGATGAGGCTATCCTTAAAGGAATGCTAGGAGAAGATAAATGGGGGAAAACAGGGGCTAATGTTGAAACCTTTCCTGAAGAAAACAAATGGGGGAACTTTTAGCAAACTTGGTTTTAACTTTAAGCACATCGCTAAATTTTTTGACAATGAGAGACTTTCTCTCCTTTTAATTTTGCTTGCCAAGTAATCGTATTTAGTACAAATGGGTTTTGTTTCTTACTACCGATGACCAAGCAAGAGAAATTTATGCTTCTTAGCACTCGCATAAGGGCTTCTTTCAACTCCTTTTCCCCAGTCCCCGTGGAGGGTCAATGCACATTCTCAAACGACACTTCACTCGGCCGGGGATTGTACTTCATAAGCAAAACATCAAGCTCATTGTGAAGAACTTTGCAACTCAACACAAGTAGGGTGATTTTGATGATTTCATTCATGCACAAACTTGTTTAAAAGGTATCACGGTCATTTACATCATGTTACCACAAGAGCACAATGTTTTGTTTTAAAATTTCCTGATTTTTAAGTATTTTTTAACCATTTGGTTGGCACAAGCAGACTGCACCATGACAGATAGACTGCATGCAGTTTGATTGTGCACAGCCTAATGACATATTTCTCAATTTTTTCGAACAACTAAGACTTAAAACCTAAACATAGAGACAATACGTGAACACACAACATCCACCCCACACTCAGGATGGACAATGTCTACCACAACACATGACACACCAATAGGTTCACCTAGCTAAGATTATTACAGACCATCCGCAAAGAAAAGAATTCACAAAGAAAAGAAGTATAAAAAAGAAAGGGTTAATACCTTATTCTCGCTTGAACTATACCATATAATCAACTTTGGTCGTGGTTTTAGAAATAGTCATTCTGGCCTCAACTATACACTATATAGACTAATTTGGCCTGACTCGTGAATTTCCATCAAATTAGATAGTCAACAGTGTTGACCTTTAGTGAATCAACATGCTTTGCTCACGTGAATGGCACATAGACATTAAAAATTAATAAAATATTTTTTTGTTAATATTTTTTATCTCTTATATAAAATTAAAAAAATTATCTTATACTTTTATAATTATTAGAAATAAACAAATTAATAAAAACTTTTGTGGTCGTCACAACCCCAAGCCGACGTCTTAACCCTCGCCTGCTTACCCCGACTCATCCTCCAAGCCTGATTTGCCACCGTCAAAGCCTCTCGGAACTTCTTCTTCATTCATGGGTTTCGACACGCATGTCACCAATGCCGGCACCAAAGCTCAACAACTGAAACAGGAAGAAAAAGAAGAAGAAGACTCCCCCGAACGTGAAAAGGCCCATCTTCCCCACCTCCATCCCTCTTCTCTTCTCTTCTCTTCTTATAACTGTCCCCCCACCCCATTCTCCATGATAGCCTTGTCAAGATAGATGAGTTCTTCAATGACACCATCGACAAGCTCCTCTCCAGCTCCGGCGTCAAACTCGAGGACATCGACCTCCTCATCGTCAACGTCTCGATGCTCGCCGTCGTCCCCACCCTCTCGCCCTGCATCAACAACCAGTATAAGATGCGGGAGGACGTCAAGTCATTCAACCTCACTGGAATGAGCTGTAACGCAAGCCTAATCTCCACTGGCATTATGTCGAACACCTTCCGTGCACAAAAAAACAAGATCGCTCTCGTCGTCACCTCCAAGTCGCTTATCCTAATTGGTACGCCGGGAATTACATATCCATGATTGTTGCCAACTGCCTCTTCCGCTAGAACGGGTGCGCATTTCTTCTCATCAACAAGCGCTCCCTAAAGCACCACTGCAATTAAAGCTCAAGAAGCTGGTCCGCACCCACCACGGTGGCAGGGACGAGTCCTGCAGGTGCTGTATTCAGAAGGAGGACGAACATGGCCGACTCAGGTTCCACCTGGCAAAGAATCTTCCCAAGGCCGCGACCCGAGCGTTCGTCGACAATCTGAGAGAAATTACTCCCAAAATCCTGTCGGTTCGGGAGTTGGGACCGATTGGTGGCGGTGTATTCGATTAGGAAATTTAAGATTTTCGCGGCCGGATATGGGGCGAAGAAGAATAAGAAGTGTTGGGAGGCGTCTAGATCAACCCGGGGGTCTAGTTTGTAAGTTTAATTTATCAAACCGAGATCTAGATCTACTGCCTACTCCGTAAACCTCTATTATTTAGCAAATTAAGTGTAGTGAGTTGTTCAAATGCAAATTAAAGCGAAAGCACAAAATGTTCCGGTTTTCCAAATATGCTAAAGGTCATCCAGCTATGATTCCCCTAGTATGCAACTAGTTTAGATTATATGATCATAATATACTCCGATTGATGGATAAACTGAGAGAAGTTCTTTACAAGTTCGAAATCTCGACTAAAGTAATCCAGACTCTCTCAGTTCGAATACCCGACGGGCGACTAACCTCCACCGGCATAAACTAACCAAGACAATAACCTGCCAAACTTCCTCTACTGGCTTTAATTCCAGTACAGAGCAGTGAATCGATTCCTCAACTAAAGCAATCGATTCACCACTTCCAATTTAAAGTTTCTCTTTTAAACTATGCAGACACTATCGTTCTAGGTTAAAGCAGGAATCACAAATGTTTGATAAAGAATCATGCAATTCTAATTAATGCCTTAATTTATATATCAAATCAATCATTCGCAAACGGAGTTCATACAATCAGTCCTAACATACAAAACTAGGGTTCTTGTTATATCCCAACTAGCATCGTTTCTTCAAAAACAGCGTTACATCGTACAAGTGATTGCAATGCAGTTCAAATTTCGGGGACGAAATTTTTATAAGGGTGGAGGAAATGTAACACCCCGACATTTGGGTGTGGGTTCGACCAAACGGTTGGATCGACGATTACGTACGAAGCATGAAAATTGTAAATTAGAAATAATAATAACATTAATAAGTAATGTTATTATTATTACTATTATTATTATTGTTATTATTATTATTAGGCAAAATACAGCTGTATATCCACAACTTTCAGCTTTGTGACAAATATATCCACAACTATCGAAATACACGATATATCCAAAAATCAGAGGGTCGTGTGACAAATCTATCCGATTCCGTTTGAAACTTTAACGACGTCTCAGACGGCGTGGAATACACTAACGGAATGCTGACTCAATGCCGTATCACTTGCCACATAAGCCAAAAAGCAATAAAATGTTACACGTGGATGCCAAATAGGCTAAATGAATAAAAACAAAAACAAAAATTCCACTTCCCCTATTTAATCCGTCGGGCTCTTCTCTCTTCCCCTTTTCCCCAATCGAAAAAATTACGGTTCATCCTTGGACTTGGTTGTGGTTCGAATTCAAAATCGGCGCCGTCGGAGAGGACGTCGCTGCGTGCGTTGAGCAACCTCGTCACCGGCGGTAGTCAAAGACATCGTCAACAGACAACTTCGCGACACGCATCACTTCAGGTTGGAGCAAATCTGAGTTGGGCGAGGTTTGTCTCGAGATGTCAAAGCGACGATCTTCATCTGCGACAAGCATCAACAGCGGTGGGGTGGTTCTTTGCGAGCACAATGTTCCCGCTGTCGTGAAGACATCAGGCACCTCGACCAACCCAGGCAGACAGTTTTATGGATGCCCATATTGGCAGGTAAAACATAGAATATTGGTTTCTATACGCGTGACACAATGATGGTTTTGGTTTGTTGACTGGATGGTTCTTGGTACAGAATGTGGATGGGAAACAGAAGTGTAGGTTTTTTAGGTGGGTCGAGAGGATTGATGATGGAAACCAGGATCTTGAGGCAATAATAATACAGTTGGAAGATGCATTGCGCCTCGCTGAGTCCAAGGCGGAGAGGAGGAACAAGGAGAAAAATGCGTTGATCAAAGATATGGTTGCTCAAGGAAGGAGATTGAACGATGATATTTGGGCTATTCGCTTAATGATAGGCATTGTGATAGTTTCCAATGTTTTCTTTCTTCTATTTTGTGGAGGAACCAAACTTGTTTGTAGAGGATGGGGGGAAGTAGTCTATGTAACAGCAGGGTGATTGTTTTGAATGTATTTGAAATGGACCAAGTAGTCTGTGTAATGTGCTTTTGTATAATGGAACAAGTAGTCTGTGTAATGTGCTTTTGTATTTGAATGTTGTGACTGCAATGAAAGTTGATATTGAAATGGACCAAGTAGTCTGGAACAAAGTACATATTACAAGCATCCCCTAATAATACTACTTGAGTCATCCCCTAATACATAGCATTCCTAATGTTTAAAAGTATAACCCCACGTCATGTTACATAGCAAAAGACCACTATAACTAAATCGACTTCCAAAATACCCTCCTCGGAAGTCATTATATGGGGCTCAAAATGTTTAAAAGTCGACTGTCTATTTTCATCAAGTCTCTGGTTGTGTTGCTGGGGGCTGACTTCCCTGGACGTCTACCACTGTAGGTTGACCCACATCCACTGCACGTCCACGTGCTCCATTCAGCTGAAAAGGAAAATGTAGATAGTCACAAATTTAGACACAAATTGCTTCCAAAAGGATCATTCTGATGAATCTAGAACTTACCCTAACATACTGGTTACCAGTAGTTTCATCTACATAGACTCCTATTCCTCTTGTTGCTACCCTCATCTCACGTTCTATGGTTCTTCGATCATCCACATTTAGCCTTACTTGCTACAATGATACAACACATCAGAATCATTGCATCTCACACTCTAGCAAAATAAAGTTCGTATAATACCTGAATTCCAGCCCCTTGATTAAGGGGACATGTTCTAGCATTATGTGTGGCAGAGCCACATTTGCTGCAATGGGACACTCTTGTCCTCTTTCCAGTTGCTGAGGCAGGTTGTTGAGTGGCCTCCCTCGATCTAGGAAGGGTCCTGCTCCTCTGCCAATATAAAAAACAAAATATTAGCAATGGAAAATTACTACCACAAACACTTAAATTACGGACTAAAGTGTACTTACGGTTCTTGGTGCTTCAACGACTGTGGGAGACTTGCAAGTTCGTGCATTATGGCCCTCTGCACCACACTTGCCACAATGGATTAGGGTTCCCCTTTTTGAGACTTCCTCACCCACTCCATGCGCTTGAGGTCGAACCTCAAACTCATGTGCTGCTTTCCCCCTATTTTTTTAGGTCTTCCAGGCATAGCTCTTTGTTTTGGAGGGAGCACAGGGTAGCCAGAGGCCTCTGGCCATGCTTGTCTCCCATGGAAACAAGGATTGCATACCTTGTATGCATCCAATACCACATGAGTCCAGTAGCATTGACTAACATACAAATCAACGTCTTTCCTCAGATGTTAGATTGCTGAAACAACATGGCAGCATGGTAATCCACTCACTGCCCGATACCCACAAATACATCTACGATTGTTGAGGTCGACAATGTACCCTCGAGTTCCCATCTTAACCTCACACTTGTCATCTAATGTTTGCCTAGAAGTGCACAATCTAGCAAGAGCCTTCTCCTTCTCAATTCTCTTCCTAATTCTAGGGCATAGCTGATCAGGGTTATCATACAACATTTTGTACTTCAACACAAACCTATCCATCAAATACCCCCTAATACCCTCAAGCATGTCAATCAGCCTCATTCCCCTATACTTGATTCTGGATCTGTTCCACGTTTCACATATATTGGATTCCATAGAGTCACATTTGGGAATAGGGGATAGGAATGCTCGACAGAAATACCTAGGATCTTGATCCATGAAGTCTTTGTAGGGTGTTGTGGATGGATCCACTGCTTCTATGGCTTGCAATTCTGCACAAGCTGCCTTCCAATCTACTTCATTACATGAGTAGACCGCCTTCCAGAAGCTTTTCCTCACAGAATCTGTTTTGTTTTTGCCTTCCAATTTGCATAAATATGCCTAGCACATTTTCTATGCTCAGCTTCAGGTAGGAGATCACGTAGAGCTTCAACAAGTCCCTGTCAATGAAAACATTTAGAAATTAAACTGTTAGAAGTGTAAAGTATTAATGATTGAAACTAACATTTGGAACTTTCTCACCTTCTGCTGGTCATAAATGACACTCCAACTTCTTCCATCTACCATGCCTAACTCTTGAGACAAAGTGTTCAAGAACCACCTCCAAGAATCTGCATTCTCACCCTCCACTACACCCCACGCGATAGTATACATCTGATTATTCCCATATTTACCCACAGTAGTTAGAAGCATCCCTTTCACTTCCCCCTTCAAAAAACACCCATCTAAATCAAACATTGGCCTGTAGCCCTCTGAGAAAACCTTCTTTCAGGTTAGAGAACCCTACGTACAGCCTCTTGAAAAAATCCTTCTCTTGACTGGGATGCGGATCCACCTCCAAGATGAACCTCCCATGTCTGTCCCTTTTGACCATTTCAGCTATATAGCTCCTCACAGCCTCGTACTCAACTACCAAACTCCCACTCAACATCTTTATAGCTTTTACCTTCGCCCTATAGCAGGTTCTCTTCTTAACATCCATGTTGTACTTCAATTTGACCTCAGCCATTATCTGATCAGGAGCCCACTCTGGATTTATCCTAAATCTGTCTAACATATCAGCTGCAATCCAAGCTGCCGTTACTTGATTCACGCGTAGGTTACGTGCACATGTGTGATTGAGTCCCACCTTCCTGACCATAAAACTTTGGTTCTTTCTGAACCATCTAGTATAGAAGCTCCACTTGCATTGTTCATCCTTACATCTAACTTCCCTTCTGGATGGTTCACTCCTCTTCCATCTCAAACAAGCTCCGGCTGCTATAGAATGCAAAACCACTGCATTCTTAAACTGCTCCACATTTGCAAACTTCAGCCGAGGAACAAACTGGAACTGAGTATGATCACACATTGGATCATAATGGGGAGCATTAGCAAAAGGTTCACCACCATCCTTGTCTGACAAATTAGGCCTGACATGATCTGAATCTTCTAATAGACGATAGCTGGAATGTTGAGAAATCTCTTCCCTTGCTTCATGTGCTGGAGGCTCGTCCTTGTTCTGAGCTGCTTGCTCAGGTATCTCACTGACCTGATCTGCACCATCTAAACCAACCTCGGCATTACCATCTTGGCCACCATGCTCAACCTCATCATCTTCTTCTTCAAACTCATCTAGCTGCTCAACCTCCTCTCCATGGTAGTCAGACCTGGCCTTCACCTTCCTTTTTATCATCTCCCTGTAAACCCTTAGATTGTCCCTTGAAGCATGATATTCATCATCTGAAGTGTCTGTATCGTCCAAGTCATAGACAAAGAACACGTCTTTAGCAACAGATTGATCTCCATCCACTGCTGCAAAGCTATCAGGTGATTCGGCCGGTTTGCCTGGATCATTCTTGATGACTCGATATTTGCACATGTTTTCCCCTTCGTTTCTTAATCGTTTGAGATTTAATTATCGCGTCTTTGGCCTATTTTAGGTTGTGTTCCTTTTTCACATTTCAGGTCCTAGCACATAAAGTCAAGCATAGGCGCAAGTTTCAAGTCAATCAGAGATCAATTGGCGATTAGGGAGAAGAAACTCGGGCATGACCTGAAGAAGAATGGATTTCTACCTCAATTTATGGACAAAGAATCATGAAAGCTTATCATGAAAAGAAAAAGGACGAGACTACGAGTGTCTGGGATCAAACGGCGACTGATTCGGAGTCCGGACGAGGGAGAAACGAAGCATTGAATATACGGGAACATGTTCGGCAGTAAAAACACGGGCGCGCCTAAATCAAAACACGGCCGTGTCCATATTTAGGCACGACCGTGTTTTGGCCGACGAGAGCTGCTGGGGGCAAAACACGGGCGGGCAAAAGCAAAACACGGCCATGTCCTTGACCGTGTTTTTCCCAGAATCGTGCTTTTTAGGCAGATTGAAGCCAAAGGAAAGGGGGAGCTGGGTTTTGGATCCAAAACACCCAAGGGACGAACCCTAGAGAGAGAGAGAGCGACTTGGGAATGAAAGTGAAACAAGTTAGAAATCATCAATTGTTAGTTTGGCTAGTGGCTAGGGGGAATCATACCTATGTGAGTTCATAACCTGTAATTAGATTAACTTTAACTGTAGTTTGCTAGAGTAGTTTTAGTTCTTTCATCTTAATCTGGTTTGCTAAATAATAAACTGAAGCTGAGTAATAGTAAATCTATAGACCCGTCGATTCGATATTTATCACTTGAGCCACTATACTGCAGTCCCTTTCATTAGTTACACTTGGCCTTTGTTAGGAGTTGTGTCTTAGCGAGTCAAGTTTTTGGCGCCGTTGCCGGGGACTTTCTAGAGTATTAGGAAAGGCAGAAGTTTGTTACTTTAGGGTTGTTCTTTTCTTTTCCACCCTTGCTTTTCACTTGGGTGTTTTTGTTTTTGTTGGTGGAGATCTGAATCATGGATCCTCATGGCTTCTCCAACAATTGGGGGTAACCACCACAACCCGAGTGGTATTACCCCGAGACTCCCTGGAGCAATCAAGGAGGAGAAGACTATGGATTCGGGTTCCAGTACCAACCCCCTTACTAGGGAGAACAACCAAAACCCTGGGCATATCAAGAACAACCTCATTACCAAGAAGGATTTCTCCTACAACCAGAAGGGCCATCGGCGCTGGAGTTACCCATGGCGGCCTTCACGGGCCATTCTGCAGAGCCATGCTACACTCCACAGCCAGATCCAAACTATGAATTGAGGCTTCTCGTGGAGCAGTATGCTCGCAAGATGGACCTCTTTTTCTCATCTGTTGCTCCTCCTAACTCTTCATCCCTCCGTGATTTGGAGGAGACTGTTTCGCACTCAGCAAAGAGAGGGTTGAGCAAGTTTGTGCACAACTTGCTCAAGATCACCTGTCTGCTACCATACTAGAGGAGGAGAAGGAAGAAGAAGGCTACAAGGACATTGTGGAGCAAACAGAGATTATCATGGAGAGCTCCCATAAAGATCATGATCAATAATGTCATGTCGTAGCCGACCACCCCTTCCCACATCCCACACCGAGCGTTGAAGAGGCGGGCATGAGTGAGGAGATGCAAGAAGATCTCATGAAAGAAATTGCTTGGCAACTTGCTCTCCAATCCGTGCTAGAAGAAGAAGAGCAAGAAATGGTGCAGAAAGAAGTTGCGGAGGATGACGAAAGTAAAGCAGGAGGAGTTCTTGATCATTTCCCAGGGGAGATACCACATGAAGAAGAAAGGGAGGTTGAAGAAGAAATTGGAGTCCAGGCTGAGGACGGAGTTAAGGTGGAAGAGGCTTGCACCGGCCATGAGTTGCAAGTAATATCCCCACCAAACTTCGAGGAACTGCTTAGAAAAGACCAATTTGCAGTGTCTCTTTGCCAGACCAAGGCAACGTCGACATCGGTTCCTCTTGGTGGACGCGATGGTGGTCAATCGATGTTGTCATATCTAGTTTGGGGCAATGAGACGAGAGAAGAGATGAAGAGGTCTCGAGGGTGGAGACTTTATCTGCATCAAGTGCACGAGCTTCCATCACTTGTCATACCACATGCTCGTGACTTGAGACTCCACCTCATCGACGAGAACCTCAACTTCAAGGAGGTTTTGGGTGGACCGAAACTTAGGAGCCATCGTCCGGCTCACGACGTAAAAGAAGCGCTTGTTGGGAGGCAACCCAACCAGTCGGTTTGCATTTCTTTCTCTATTTCTCCTCGGTTGAGTCAGTATTTTTTATTTGATTTTAGAGTCAATAACTTAACCTTTGTGAGATTCCGTGTGGTATTTGTGTTCTGGCCACTCTCTCCTCCGGGAATACACCGCCTGCCCCGTCCACCATCACTCACCCTGGATCTGGTAACTTCGTTCTACCCTCCTTATCATTCCTCCATTGAGGACAATGTCGTGCTTAAGTGTGGGGGGATGTTCGATTATGTATGCGGGTGAATGTTGGCTGTTTGTGTGCTTGGAGCCTAGTCCACTGTCCAAATTTTTAAATTTGAAGGCTCCAAGTACGTGTTTCCTTGCAAATTTCCTGCTCAGTATGCTTTGAATTGATAGTCTCTATAGAAATGTGCAACCTAGGGAGGTAGTGTAGCACTATGGAGGATGTTGAAGTATAAGATTTTTCCTATCTAGCTCTCTGCTGTGCCAATTGATTTTGTGAATTAGTGGAGCTAAGACCGTTGAATTCATGTGGTAATGGTGACTCTATTTGGATTGTGTTATGGACTCGTGTATCGAACAGGGTGCTCGTGTGAAAAATGAAATGCAGTTGGTCCTCCATGTCAAAATCATTGAATCTTAAACATGGGGTAAGCCCAACGTGTGCGGCACCATTCATTGCACAAAAATCGGGTTTTGGAAGAGATTTTAGTGATCCTTAGTGGGGTACTCCTACAAGGTGAAGCTAAGTTCTCTCTAGTACAAGTAAAACTTCCACCCGTTGAACGGTTTGCCTACTTGACGATGTGTTTCTAAGGGCACGGATAGAGCTTCCGACCCCCCTTAATTTCATTGACCCTCCACACGGGTTGAGGAAAAGGAGTTAAAAGAAGTACTCTGGCGAGCACCAGATGTACAGAAATTGCTCTTGCTCGACTAATAAGGGTCGACCGTGCAAAAGACTGCAGTTGGAACCCCCGCCAAGTGAATGAAACAGAAAAAAAGTAAAATGAAAGTGAAAAAGGGGTTCCAACGGTGAAACGAATTGAAGAGCACCCCGGTACAACGAGTCCTTGGTTGTGAATGGTGTGAGTCCCTTTATTCATGAACTGAATGTCTTACTTCTACTTCTTCTCATGATCCTGGCTTGAGTCTAGTACTCGCATTGAGAGAGATAGGGAACGTCTTAGAAGACCAGTTGACCTCGTAAGCTGCTATATGATCTAGGAAATCCTCTACCGACAATCAGGGTTGTATGTTGCTATAGAGGTCTGGAGAGCTGAATTGGTTTGAGTTAGGTTTGCTTGGGGACAAGCAAACGGTTAAGTGTGGGGGGATTTGATGACTCGATATTTTCACATGTTTTCCCCTTTGTTTCTTGATCGTTTGAGCTTTAATTATCGCTTCTTTGGCCTATTTTATGCTAGGTTGTGTTCCTTTGTCACATTTCAGGTCCTAGCACATAAAGTGAAGCATAGGCGCAAGTTTCAAGTCAATCAGAGATCAATTGGCGATTAGGGAGAAGAAACTCGGGCATGACCTGAAAAAGAATGAATTTATACCTCACTTTATAGACAAATTATCATGCAAGCTTGTCATGAAAAGAAAGAGGACGAGACTACGAGCGTCTGGGATCAAACGGCGACTAATTCAGAGTCCAGACGAGGGAGAAACGAAGCATTGAATATAGGGGAACAGGTTCGGCAGTAAAAACATGGGCGCGCCTAAATCAAAACACGGCCGTGTCCATATTTAGGCACGACCGTGTTTTGGCTGACGAGAGCTGCTTGGGGCAAAACACGAGCGGGCAAAAGCAAAACACGGTCGTGTCCTCGACCGTGTTTTTCCCAGAATCGGGTATTTTAGGTAGTTGAAGCCAAAGGAAAGGGGGAGCTGGGTTTTGGATCCAAAACACCCAAGGGACGAACCCTAGAGAGAGCGAGCGACTTGGGAACATTCTTGGAGCTATTTTGGAGGATTTCTTCGCCATTGGAGCTCGGGAATCAAGCTTGGAAATGGAGATGAAGATCTAGATCAGATTTCTGCAGTCTCTCTCTTCTCTATGGAGTAACTTCCCTTCACTTAGGTTTTGAGGAACCCTAGCTATATTTGTTTGATTGGATGATTTTATGAGTACTCTGACTTGATAACCTTGAGTTCATATTCAATCTATGCATGTTTTTTTCATGATTCAATTCTGTTTTAGTCGAGATTATTGATTCTGCTTTGATCCTATGAGAGCGAATACCTGATTAGGTCAATAGAGCACCATAGATTGATAGTAGTGGATCGATTTCTTTAGTCGAGGGTTGGTTCACTGCTTTGTATCGATTGAGAAACTCTTTCGATAGAGGGAGTCTAGTTCAGAACGCCTTGATCGGTTGTTCTAGAGAAGGATACGTCCCTCTAGCCAATTGACTCAAGAGGGCCTTGTTCCTTTAGTCGAGACTTAAGGTCTAGTCAAGGATTCTCCGCATTGTGAATGAAAGTGAAACAAGTTAGAAATCATCAATCGTTAGTCTGGCTAGTGGCTAGGGGGAATCATACCTAATTGAGTTCCCAACCTGTGATTAGATTAACTTTAACTGTAGTTTGCTAGAGTAGTTTTAGTTCTTTCATCTTAATCTGGTTTGCTAAATAATAAACTGAAGCTGAGTAATAGTAACTCTCGACCCGTGGATTCGATATTTATCACTTGAGCCACTATACTGCAGTCTCTTTCATTGGTTACACTTGGCCTTTGTTAGGAGTTGTGTCGTAGCGAGTTGATAACGATGTAATTGCACATATTTGCACCCCTAGTTCTTATCTGTTTGAGGGGCATAGTCGTGTATTTTTGGCCTATTTTACGCAGGGTTGTGCTACTTTGTCATATTTCAGGTCCCAGACGGTGAAGGAAAGGCTAAGCACGAGTTTCGGGACATTCGGAAGTCATTCGGTCGAGCTGGAGCCAAAACACGGGCACGCCTAAATTAAAGCACGACCGTGTTCCTTAGACCGTGTTTTTACTGCCGAGACTTGATTTGAGTCTGTCAAACACTAAATCAAAACACGGGCATGATTGAGACAGAACACGGCCGTGTCCACCAAAAGCACGCCCGTGTTTTCCCCAAAAGTCGGGCCGTGTATTTAACACTTGGCAAGGGCACGGGCGGGTTGGAGCAGAACACGGCCGTGCCCTCGACCGTGTTTTGCCCAGTGATGCCCTTTTAGCACATTTCAGCCAAAACAGAAAGGGGATTCGAGTTTTAGAGAGACAGAGCGATTCCTAGAGAGAGAAAGCGACGAACAAGAGTTCCCAAGTGCCCTAGCTTGATCTTCATCACCGTTGGAGCTTGGCTTGAGCTTGGAGGAGTGCCGATCAACGTCCAGGAGCAGAAATCCATCCTTCACAGTATGATTTCCGCGTCTGAATCTGCTTTTGCTTCTTTCCCCATGGCGTAGTTCTCCCATTCATCTGGGCATGGGAAACCCTAGATTTGTATGTTAGGTCTGATTGTATGAACCCAAGTACTGATTCTATGATTTGATTATATTCAATTGAGGTTTGAATGATTGAATGGCTTGAATCCTGATCAAATTCCTGTTGTTTCTGCTTTAACCTAGAATGAGAATATCTGCCTAGGTTGATAGAGCATCCTTGATTGAAGGTAGGGAGTTGGTGACTTTAGTCGAGGAGCCAACTCACTATTCTGTACCGAAGTCACTTCGGTAGTGGAGGTTTTGTTCGTTAGGGCCTCAATCTGTTTACTCTGGTGGAGGTTAGTCGCCCGCTAGAGACTCATATTGAGAGGGTCTGGAGACCTTTAGTCGAGACTTCAGACTGCTTAAGAACCTTCCGCAGTATAACTATCATAGAAATTGAACTTGGTAATTGCAATCCGACTTAACTGCAGTCTAGGGGGAACCATATCCGGGGGACCTCTCTTAACCTGAAAACAACCGTTTAGTTGCTTTGCTTGTTTGTTAATTTGGACCTGCACTAAAGTTTCACTGCTAGATAATAAGAATTCACCGAGTAGTCATCAAATCTAGGACCCGGGTTGACATTAAAACCCAAACCCGCTATACTACGCCTTAGGAAGTGGTTTCACATGGCCATTTTCTAGGGTGACAGTAGGAGTGAGTCAAGTTTTTGGCGCCGTTGCCGGGGACGGCTAGGTTGTTGAAGAAAAGTGATTTCTGTTAATTTAGCTTTTCTTTTCGCATTGTTTGCTTTGTCCCACTTGTGCCTTCACGGGTTTGCTTGCTTGATCGTGTGCAGATAGTGCATGACCCGTAGCCAGTCGCGAGGTTTACTGTCGTTGAATCCAGAGGTTGAACGCACCTGTTGCCAACTCAGGAGACAACAGCGAGCTAGACTGGCTACGGAGGAGCGCATAGACGGCCATTTGAGCAGCGAGTCCGAGGACGAGTACGAGATGGAAGATGTTTTTTTTTTCCTCTGTCCCTTGAAGCATGATATTCATCATCTGAAGTGTCTGTATCGTCCAAGTCATAGACAAAGAACACGTCTTTAGCAACAGATTGATCTCCATCCACTGCTGCAAAGCTATCAGGTGATTCGGCCGGTTTGCCTGGATCATTCTTGATGACTCGATATTTGCACATGTTTTCCCCTTTGTTTCTTAATCGTTTGAGATTTAATTATCGCGTCTTTGGCCTATTTTAGGTTGTGTTCCTTTTTCACATTTCAGGTCCTAGCACATAAAGTCAAGCATAGGCGCAAGTTTCAAGTCAATCAGAGATCAATTGGCGATTAGGGAGAAGAAACTCGGGCATGACCTGAAGAAGAATGAATTTCTAACTCAATTTATGGACAAAGAATCATGCAAGCTTGTCATGAAAAGAAAAGGAACAAGACTACGAGTGTCTGGGATCAAACGGCGACTGATTCGGAGTCCGGACGAGGGAGAAACGAAGCATTGAATATACGGGAACATGTTCGGCAGTAAAAACACTGGCGCGCCTAAATCAAAACACGGCCGTGTCCATATTTAGGCACGACCGTGTTTTGGCCGACGAGAGCTGCTGGGGGCAAAACACGGGCGGGCAAAAGCAAAACACGGCCATGTCCTTGACCGTGTTTTTCCCAGAATCGTGTTTTTTAGGCAGATTGAAGCCAAAGGAAAGGGGGAGCTGGGTTTTGGATCCAAAACACCCAAGGGACGAACCCTAGAGAGAGAGAGAGAGCGACTTGGGAACATTCTTGGAGCTATTTTGGAGGATTTCTTCGCCATTGGAGCTCGGGAATCAAGCTTGGAGATGGAGATGAAGATCTAGATCAGATTTCTGCAGTCTCTCTCTTCTCTATGGAGTAACTTCCCTTCACTTAGGTTTTGAGGAACCCTAGCTATGTTTGTTTGATTGGATGATTGTATGAGTACTCTGACTTGATAACCTTGAGTTCATATTCAATCTATGCAAGTTTTCATGATTCAATTCTGCTTTAGTCGAGATTATTGATTCTGCTTTGATCCTATGAGAGCGAATACCTGATTAGGTCAATAGAGCACCATAGATTGATAGTAGTGCATCGATTTCTTTAGTCGAGGGTTGGTTCACTGCTTTGTATCTATTGAGAAACTCTTTCGATAGAGGGAGTCTAGTTCAGAACGCCTTGATCGGTTGTTTTAGAGAAGGATACGTCCCTCTAGGCAATTGACTCAAGAGGGCCTTGTTCCTTTAGTCGAGACTTAAGGTCTAGTCAAGGATTCTCCGCATTGTGAATGAAAGTGAAACAAGTTAGAAATCATCAATCGTTAGTCTGGCTAGTGGCTAGGGGGAATCATACCTAATTGAGTTCCCAACCTGTGATTAGATTAACTTTAACTGTAGTTTGCTAGAGTAGTTTTAGTTCTTTCATCTTAATCTGGTTTGCTAAATAATAAACTGAAGCTGAGTAATAGTAACTCTCGACCCGTGGATTCGATATTTATCACTTGAGCCACTATACTGCAGTCTCTTTCATTGGTTACACTTGGCCTTTGTTAGGAGTTGTGTCGTAGCGAGTTGATAACGATGTAATTGCACATATTTGCACCCCTAGTTCTTATCTGTTTGAGGGGCATAGTCGTGTATTTTTGGCCTATTTTACGCAGGGTTGTGCTACTTTGTCATATTTCAGGTCCCAGACGGTGAAGGAAAGGCTAAGCACGAGTTTCGGGACATTCGGAAGTCATTCGGTCGAGCTGGAGCCAAAACACGGGCACGCCTAAATTAAAGCACGACCGTGTTCCTTAGACAGTGTTTTTACTGCCGAGACTTGATTTGAGTCTGTCAAACACTAGCTCAAAACACGGGCATGATTGAGACAGAACACGGCCGTGTCCACCAAAAGCACGCCCGTGTTTTCCCCAAAAGTCGGGCCGTGTATTTAACACTTGGTAAGGGCACGGGCGGGTTGGAGCAGAACACGGCCGTGCCCTCGACCGTGTTTTGCCCAGTGATGCCCTTTTAGGCAGATTTCAGCCAAAACAGAAAGGGGATTCGAGTTTTAGAGAGACAGAGCGATTCCTAGAGAGAGAAAGCGACGAACAAGAGTTCCCAAGTGCCCTAGCTTGATCTTCATCACCGTTGGAGCTTGGCTTGAGCTTGGAGGAGTGCCGATCAACGTCCAGGAGCAGAAATCCATCCTTCACAGTATGATTTCCGCGTCTGAATCTGCTTTTGCTTCTTTCCCCATGGAGTAGTTCTCCCATTCATCTGGGCATGGGAAACCCTAGATTTGTATGTTAGGTCTGATTGTATGAACCCAAGTACTGATTCTATGATTTGATTATATTCAATTGAGGTTTGAATGATTGAATGGCTTGAATCCTGATCAAATTCCTGTTGTTTCTGCTTTAACCTAGAATGAGAATATCTGCCTAGGTTGATAGAGCATCCTTGATTGAAGGTAGGGAGTTGGTGACTTTAGTCGAGGAGCCAACTCACTATTCTGTACCGAAGTCACTTCGGTAGTGGAGGTTTTGTTCGTTAGGGCCTCAATCTGTTTACTCTGGTGGAGGTTAGTCGCCCGCTAGAGACTCAGATTGAGAGGGTCTGAAGACCTTTAGTCGAGACTTCAGACTGCTTAAGAACCTTCCGCAGTATAACTATCATAGAAATTGAACTTGGTAATTGCAATCCGACTTAACTGCAGTCTAGGGGGAACCATATCCGGGGGACCTCTCTTAACCTGAAAACAACCGTTTAGTTGCTTTGCTTGTTTGTTAATTTGGACCTGCACTAAAGTTTCACTGCTAGATAATAAGAATTCACCGAGTAGTCATCAAATCTAGGACCCGGGTTGACATTAAAACCCAAACCCGCTATACTACGCCTTAGGAAGTGGTTTCACATAGCCATTTTCTAGGGTGACAGTAGGAGTGAGTCAAGTTTTTGGCGCCGTTGCCGGGGACGGCTAGGTTGTTGAAGAAAAGTGATTTCTGTTAATTTAGCTTTTCTTTTCGCATTGTTTGCTTTGTCCCACTTGTGCCTTCACGGGTTTGCTTGCTTGATCGTGTGCAGATAGTGCATGACCCGTAGCCAGTCGGGAGGTTTACTGTCGTTGAATCCAGAGGTTGAACGCACCTGTCGCCAACTCAGGAGACAACAGCGAGCTAGACTGGCTACGGAGGAGCGCATAGACGGCCATTTGAGCAGCGAGTCCGAGGACGAGTACGAGATGGAAGATTACAATCCACACCAGGGGAATCCTCGGCAGGCTCCCCCGGTGAATCAGGTCCCGCGGAACAACCCCATACCCCAGGCAGATGGGGTTCATCATCATCCACCGCCGCCGGGTCCCACTTTGGAGTACTACTACACTCCACGGATTGCTGACAACCGCCCGGTCATCCTCTACCCACCTATTCCAGCGAACAACTTCGAGATCAAGCCATGATGGATTCAACTCATTACATCCTCTATCCAGTTCCATGGCTTGAAGGATGAGGAGGCAAGGGTACATCTTTCCCGTTTTCTGCAGCTGACGAACGGGTTCAAGCTGAACGGTGTCCCTGATGATGCAATCCGCCTTCACCTCTTCCCCCATTCTCTGGCGGGGAAAGCCAAGAGGTGGTTGGAGACTCAGCCCCCATTGTCCATCACTTCTTGGGATGATCTGGCTGACAAGTTCGTGCACAGGTACTACCCAGCATCGAAGACCACAGAGATCCAGCGGGAGATCACTCACTTCCGCCAAGAGCCAGACGAGTCACTTCGTGATGCATGTGAGCGGTACATGGGATATTTCTGGCAGTGTCCCCATCATGGCTTCAGTGATGCATTCACAGTGGGGAACTTCTACAGCGCTCTCTTTCCGGACAGCCAGAGGGTGATTGAGTCTCTATGCCCAGGAGGGGATATTCTTACTAAGACTCCACCCGAACTGAACCAGATGATCAATACCTTGGCTGCCAGAGATCATTCTTGGGGGCACAGCAGCAGAGGCAGACATTCCCGGGACCGTGGTGTGCACCATGGAGACCAGATCCGGGCTTGAGCAGCAGGTAGCTGAGTTAGTGCAGATATTGAAGCAGCCCAACAATCTTATTCCGGGCAGAGGTTTGGCTACACCTCCAGTAGCTCAATGTCAGTGGTGTGAGAGCTCAAATCACCTGGTGGGAGACTGCCAGGCTATGAGGGAGTCTACTACTCCCCAAGAGCAGTTGGACTTCATCGCCAATGATCGGCGCCTCGACCCGTACAGCAATACATATAATGAGGGGTGGCGCCAGCATCCCAATTTCTCTTGGAGCAGCAGCACCACTAAACTACCTGGTTTCCCAGCACCAGCTGGTGGTTTTCAGCAGAGGCAGCCTTTCCAGGCTAGACAGGGGCCAGCCCCATAGCATCAACCCATACCAGCCTAGGCAGGGGCAACCATTCCAGCAGCCCCAACGTCAGTATGCCGAGCCAGCAGCAACTCTTGCTCCAGATAACCAAATGACGAAGCTGGAAAATATTCTAGCTTCATTCATGACTGCCACTCAGGAAACTGTCACGAGGTTGGACCAGAGCATAACCTCACTGGAGGCAGGTCAGAGGAACCAAGGTGCCATTTTGCAAGATCTGCAGAACCAGATGGGTAGCTTTGCTCGCCAAAACACTACCAGGGCACCGGGGACTCTGCCTGCCACCACTATTCCGAATCCTCGTGAGCCTCACCAGCACCAGCAGCTAGATGCCATCACTACCAGGAGTGGCAAGACCACATCTGCTGCTCCTGCCCAGCCCAGTCGAGATGAGCCACTACCTGCTTCAACACTTCCAGCTGATAATGCAGAAGTGGGGGAAGACAAAGAAACACCTGCTCCCAAGCCACAGCCAGTGGTTAAGGAGCATGTACACCAGCTTCCTTTTCCCACTCGCCTACATAAAGACAAGCTGGAGACAGAGTTTGCCAAGTTCATGGTAATGTTGAAGCAGGTCAACATCAGCATGCCGTTCGTAGAGGCACTGTCAAAGATGCCCAAGTATGCCAAGTTCATGAAGGAACTCCTCACCAACAAGAAGAAACTTGGGGATCTTTCGATAGTGATGCTGAGCGAGGAGTGTTCTGCTATCCTGCAGAACAAGCTGCCCGAGAAGCGAAAAGACCCAGGGAGTTTCACTATCCCTCTTTTTATTGGTAGCATGCATGTAGGAAAGTCCTTGGCGGACTTAGGCGCTAGCATAAATGTCATGCCTTACAAATTGTTTAAGAAGCTAGACCTAGGTGAACCTAGAGCTACTAGGATGAGCATTCAGTTAGCTGATCGTTCTATCGTGCATCCTAGGGGTATCATTGAGGATTTGCTTGTTAATGTGGGTGCATTCACATATCCTGTTGACTTTGTTATTTTGGATATAAATGAGGATGTGGATGTACCTTTGATTTTGGGTAGACCGTTTCTCGGCACCGCCAAGGCGCT